TCTTATGATCCGAGGTGGGAGTTGATTGTAGTAAAGAAACAAATTAGACACTGGTTTGTAAAAATGACCAAAGTTTTATTTTCATTTTCAAGATATGAAAATGTCTCTAGTAAGTCGTATAGTGTAGTGTTCAAATGTATGGTGTACGAGGTGCGACATGAGAGCTTGAAAAAAAGAGTGTGCTTAATCCGGCTGGTTGCTTGTTGGCTATCGGTTTGGGCTTGTTGCGTTGATAGTGGAATCCGTTCTCTTTCTGTGTTCACAGGAGGTTGTTTTCACAACCTAATGGTCGGACGGGTAGTCAGCCGTGCTCTCGAGTAGCCTCTATGGTTAGCGTGTGTGTGTGAATTCACTCTGTCTCTCTCTGCTCTCTCTCTTCTCTCTCTCTCTGCTCTCTCTCTCTATATATATATCTCTCTCTCTCTGTCTTTGCTGACCCGCTTCTCTTATTAAGGGAAACGCGAGAGTCGAGTCAGTAATGAGCAGCACCATATTTGTGTTTATTTTAAAATTTGTTTTGAATAGAGTGCTGAGTGTGAGTGACTTACCTAGTCGAAAACTGGTGTCTAGTTAGAGATATATGTTTTGTAATAATTGCATAAATCTGGCTTTAATTTGTTATCTGTATGTGTAAATTGTGTTTTTATGTTACAATTAAAGTACAAACGGAATGCCAATTCGAAAGAATTCATAATAATTTTAACTTGTGCCAAAGATAATATCGCTTTTGAAAATCAGCATTTAAAATGGAGTTTTTCCCCGGGATTCGAACACGAATCTCGGACAGGAAATGCCACTACCACAGCTACTATACCGATGCTTTTCATGAATTTCTAATAGCACGTGGTTAAGAGAATGTCAAGGCAATTAAGAGAAGGTGATTATTTTTCGCGAAAGTAATTTTTAATGCATTTAATTTCCTTGCTTTTTACCTGTAATGAAAACAAAATTCTAGTACAAGTAGGCAGATAATACAGCAATGTCACCCAACCATTTCATCAATCCAGTACGTAAACTTCCATTCGTATAGTACAAGGCCAATTGCAAGAAAATGTTGTGAGAATATTTTGTTACACAGAAAACATGTCTCTAGAAAATGTACAGGGTTCTCCAAAATTTTTGTCACCCACCCCTACATAATATAATTTTCTATTTCAACGCTCGCTGGGGTATTATTATCAAGGTGGGAGTTTCACATGAATGAAATCAGAATACCCATCTGTTGAAGGACGCAGTTCGGAGAGCCTTTGCAACAATAAACAAACCCGAGCTTCTTAAAATATCACACAGGACATGGCGCCGCAACATTTTGATGCCACAAAAAATAATGGTTTTCATACAGACCTTCTTAATGTGTAAGCAGCGTCAATGAAAGTGAATAAACTGAATCCAGTACATGTGCTTTGTATTACTGTATTTTTTTATTTTATTGTTCTCATAACTTTTTGCTTGTGGGTGACAAGACTTTCGAACCACCCTGTACATTAATAATGCTAGCTTTATCTGGATTCAAACATGTAATCTTTGCATTGACAAGGAATATCGCTCTATCAGATACCATACCAATTTATTACGTAAACTTCTATTAGTATGGCGCAAGACAAATTAAAAGGAAAGATGTTGTGCAATCCATGAAGGGAAATTTGTACGTTGAAAATATGCATTTAAAATCTGAGCTTTTACCTGGATTCGAACTGAACCTCTGGTACAGGTAGGAAATACAACAATCACACAAACCATTTCATCAAAATCCAATACGTAAACTTCCATTCGTATGATACAAGACCAATTGCAATAAAATTGGAATAGGAAGAATTTTATTACACGGAAAATATGCCTCCTTTGAAAATAAATATAAATAATGCGAACTTTTTCCGAATTCGAACGTGAAATCTCTGCATTGGCAAGAAATATCGTTCTATCATACCATACCAATCTACAGGTTGATTGAAAAAGTAACTCCTTATTTTATGTATGATGGACTCTCATGTATAACTATAATTTTTACAAGATGTGAGAGTCCATCATACATAAAATATACTTTTTAATCACCCTGTATTATGTAAAATTCTTCGTGTACAGTATAAGATTAATCAGAAGATAAGATTTTGTTGTTCGGATAAACATAACTTTCATGAAATGGACATTGAAAATTCTATCTTTTAACAGGATTTGAACGCTAAACTATGACATTAAGCAAGTGTCCTAATTAAAGTGTGTCACGATGTAAAGAGTTACATGAAACAAAATAATAATAATAATAAATCTGTTCTCTGTAACTTATGTCACTTCTGCTATAAGGCATGTGCTAAGGGATGTTTGTTCAGTACGCGGGATTAAAAAGATATATTAAACAGCTTGCTTCACTCACAAAATTCAGAAAGAAAAATCAGTTCTTTCTTTTAACAAGAGCCCTCCAATGTGCAGTGTAGCAGAAGATGTTTGAAGTATCTGATTATAATCTTGCTTGTTCCTTCCTTCTCTAGTTTGCACGACCGTTACCCCCTGCCAATACCCAATAAAAGATGGACTATTCAGTTTTCATCGTGTGGAAAGAGAGGAAAAGACATTACTTAGTTTCAGTGAGAAAATGAAAGAAAGAAAAAAGGGAAGATAAAAGTGGAGTATATTTTTCATCGCGCCCACGTCGCTACTGAATGTGACACAAAGTCAGTTTAAAGTAGGTTTAAGGGCAATACCGTGAAAAAATTGTCTAAGCTCACTCGGCACTACCCCGTTTGGGGACGCCGGACAATAAACCCAGCCTCCTCCTGAAGGAGAGATACTGTAGGGGGGGGCACGGGCTTAATATTATTTTCAACTTTCCCAGATCGAAGCGAACTTACCAGTGAAATACGAAGAGAATAAGGCTGATTCGACTCTGTGAATGTGACATGGCAGGTTCTAGCTGTAATGCACTATTTTGTTTTGATTGTGTAGAAAAACAAAATCAAAATATGCTACTTGGTTTCAGTGCGAAAATTAATGAAATAAATAAATAAAGAAGGGGAAACAGAAGTGTTTAACTGTTTCAATTGAAAGAATTGTCAATTTCAAATCTTATCATTTGTACCCACTTCTTAAAATAACGACCAGTATATTTATGATTGTTATTGCAATATTTTGTTAAAGTTGTTAAACTTAAATATTTAACAAGGTGATAAGGAATTTTCTACGGTTATCTTATTGTCGTAGAAATTGCCATAAGCTTATTCAATCATCGACTGAAAAATTGAAATTCATCAGAAAATTCAAATAGGAATTTTCAGGGGTCTTTCTGGTTTTTATAAATATTGATAAATTTTAGCATTCGTTTTAACTCTTGGAAAAAGGCATTTCCTTTATTTAACATTAGTTTCTTATCAGTTCCCTCTTTGATTGAAACATTCAAGAATTGGGATCAAAGTCGCTTCAGATGTAACTCGAACTATCCACCATACGGTTTTTTACTTTGTTTTAGTCTGAAATAATGACAAATAATTGTCATGGTAATTTACGCACGCACGCATGGACTCTCCAAGCTATAAACAGGAACAGGTACTGCCTTTTTGGAGAGGGAAGATTCCAGCAGTCAGCTCTGACAGTCGGACCGAACATTCTTGCTGTAACACTCTCGTTTGTATATGTTTCTATTACTGTTTCTGTTAATATATTTGTTTAGCTCAATTCCTCTCTGTGTCTTTATTTCTATCCCTAAAAAGGCCACAACAATAATGTGAATGCTTCAAGAGGAAGATTATGTTGCGCCAGCTTTGTTTGCCTTCCTTGAACATCAGCATTCAAAATAATGGCTTTTATCCTCAGTAAGAAATACGAAACTATTGTAATGGCGCGAGCCACATTCTTCATTATCTTTTTTTACTGTTGTTCACCCAAAAAGTCCCAAGAGCCACTCAAGGTAGAGTGTTACTGAATGAGATTGTTGAATGTAGACTTGAAGTGGTCAAAATTCTAGTGATCAGGGAAGCATCTTCTCGGGAGTTAACTCAGGAATTTACAAAGTATCCGTTCTTGGAAAGAAGCTGTTTGAATTAAGCTTCTTTCTTACCAGTGAAATACGAAGGGAATAAGGCTGCTCTGAACTAGTGGAACTAAGGAACGTAGCTCATCTGAACATTTGCCATGGAAATAGTAATAGAATAGCGAGAATCTTGCGACGGTGCGTCTGTGGAAAAAGGGGTTGTTGGGTGGAAATAATTCATCGCCTACAAGGACGCGGAGACGGTTTTGAACTCTGTCGATGCTGAAAAGAGAGGATTGTACAGATATGGCAACAATACTCCCTTTTTTGGTCTTATGATGGTGGGTGTAGTCGTTTTAAGCTCTGATGTTATGAGTATTTTTCGAGGTAATTTCTTTTCTCTTAATTTGTAAATCGGTGAAAGGATTGATTGATAATGTTGTGTAAAATTTTTCTTTTCCTTTTTTTTAAGAGAAAAAAGAAAAATTTACAAGTTATTTAAAGCCAGAAAATATTTGTAGATTGTATTTTTTTTTCTTGGAGATAATAATGGTTTAGTGATTCAAGTCTTACAAAGCTGGAAGAAGAAAGGGTGGATTCATTCATACCTAATATCAGAATTTGATAAACAAGCAAGAAATTATAATGTTGATATAAAGTGGGGGATCAATTCTATATTAAAATCACTATGTAAACTGATCTCTCACTTTGTGGCCACGTCAGAAAATGTAAATAAATCTAAGACATGCCTGTTTAGCTAATCAGAATTTGATTGATTGATTCGTTTTCTATGGCTTATCAACTCTTTGCAGGTTATTTAAAGCCAGAAAATAGGTGTAGATTGTATTAATTTTTTTTAAAATAATAACGATTTACTGATAAAGGCTCTACTAATTAACCCATAGTTAGGTGAGAAGACGTGGATTCATACTTTTCCCAAGAGTATTTACGTGTAATGGATTATAACGAGCCCAACTGGAATTGGAACACAGCTTGACAATCCTGCGCCATTATGCTTTACACCGCCGGCACATCTATG